ATTGTGGACTGTGGGGCTCAGTTTAAAACGTCCAACGAACTTGTCATGCACAAACAGACCCATGGCTACCAGGTAAGCTACCAGTGTGAGCTCGAGGGCTGTTCTGTCGCTTGTTCTGACTTGGGGCAAGTCTATCACCACGAAGCACAGCATTTCAGAGAGGCAGCATTTACTTGCTCTAGTGGTGACTGTAAGAAATTTTATTTGTCCAAAAAAGAATTTATAACACATCTTTCCACACACAATCTCACCTTTTCTGAAGAGGACTTTGAGGCTCAGAGAAAGGCAAAACGTAAACTTTACAAGGCTTCAACTGACGGGCCAGCCCGTCTTAAAAAGTGTGTTGATTCAAAAGAAGTTTTGAACGGATTAGTCTTAAAGTCTGCCACTGTGAGTAGTGTCTCCTCTCCTGGAGAATGTAACAAAGAACCAAAAGCAACAATGACATTGGTGGCTGTGTGTTTCGATGGAAGTAAGTTTACCTGTGGGTTTGAGAAGTGTGGTATGACCTTCTCCAGAGCCAGAGATGTTCAGAGGCACCTGAAAGGTGCCCATGCAGAATATCTAAAACTGGAGAACAGAGAACACGATCTTGAAAAGGAGGTGAACACTGAACTTGAACCAGAAGATGAGGAAAAGGGAAAAGTTGAGCTTTTTACCTCATGTCCACCTATGCAGACTAGCAAAGAGCAGGAAGCAGCTGCTCCTCCCAAACCAGATGAAGAAAACTCCAATTCAAGCCTTCATACAAACAATGACACCCTTAACGATATTATTATCAGGCTCAGTGAACTTAATCTTAATTGCTCATCCCCTAATCTTGTGCTGAGTGAATGCACTCCAGAGTCTGACGCCTTGGTCGTAGCTCTCCATCAGGCCATCATCGCAAAGCCAGTTGTGCTTCAGAAGACTTCCACGGATTTGCCTGAAGAGAATGTAGAAATGAAAACTGAACAGGCGTCGACAGCTGAGGTGTTGGCCACTGCGAAGCCATACGTCTGTCAGATGAAAAGCTGTGACTTCAGGACGGCTCAGAGTTACAGCTTACAACGACACTATTGCACTAGACATGGCCGCACCATGGAACAGGCCAAGAGGATGACTTCTCTGAAAACAACATCCTTTAAGCCTTACCACTGCCAGCTTTGTTCCAAGAGCCACAGACAAAAAAATGTGTTAAGGGCACATTATATTCATGTACATAAATTGAGTAGCAGATTAATTGATAGGTTAAGTTTTGGGTCTGTACAGGACGGGGGAAAGAAAAATGCAGAGGAGAACTTGTCAAAGCACTCAGCAAGCCAAGGTATAAGAATGTTGGAAAAAGTCTTTCCTGAAATGCCAGACCACACGGAGGAAGAAAACTCTAACGCCGCCAATGAAAATGGAGAAAACTGTGAGAGTCCGTTTAAGGAGGAGGGGCTTCAGATTAAAACAGAAATTCAAAAGGAGGAAGACGAAACAAACGGAGAATGTGAGAAGACCACTCAACAGGTCCGATCTACGAGACGTCTAGTTGCCAGAAGTAATCACTGTTATGTGCTGGATAAGTTCAGTAAGCCCTATCATTGTGTAGCAAAAAGCTGCGATGCTGCTTTTTCCACCCAGGGAGGCCTTGTACGCCACCTACAGCTGGTGCACCATTACAACCGCTCTCAGCTATTGTTGGAAAAGGATTTGGAAGTAAACCAGAGTCATGAACTTAGGAAAGAGCCTGTGAAGAAAAGACTTTGCCCAAACTTCGATGAGCCCCAGCCCCGGTTCAAATGTCACTTTGCCAAATGTTCAGCTACATATCATCTAAAAAGTAGTTTACTGCGTCATATCAGAGACATCCACTCGCAACCAACCCAGATATTAAAGTGCAAGTACGAAGGATGCAAAAGAGTCTTCACTCATAATTACGCACTTAAAAAGCATACATTGTATGACCACTGTGAGTACTATGACTCACTTGTGGTACGTCTACAGAGTACTCACAAAAAGTCAGTGACTGGGTGCCAGAAGAAAGTAATCATCACACCAAGTTCTCAAAACGTAGAACCTAATTCTGAAACTAGCCAGAACGGGAGGTCAAGTCCTGAGCCTGAAATAAACTCTAAAGAAGAAGAAACTGAGGAAACATGCAAGCTCAATATTGAAGGGAAGAATATGACTGTTCCGAAAAGTAAACCAAAAAGAAACAGTTTGAGTAGTTTTGTCTTTAGATCACATGAAGAAGCCCTACAGATGTGCCAAGACCGCTGTATGCGTGTGGCCTACCCTTGTATGATCCAGGACTGTGATTCTGTCGTCTCTTACGTTCACAGTTTGAATCGCCATTATATTAGGGTTCACCGCATGCGTCGTGAAGACATTTACAACAGCAAGCTTGTTTTCAATGCTGAGCAGTTGGAGGAACTGATTCAGAAGAAGTCCGCTAGACCAACCATGGCAGGAGCTGGCTCACCCAATGATGTTTCCAAAATGGAGTCTCCACCAGAGCTAGAGAAAAAAGAGGGGGAGCCCGTACCAACAGGCCTGCAGTCTGCCAAGTCAGAGACACAGGACGAGAATGATTGTCATCCACTGGAACTGCCTCGAGACAGAGAGGAGGAGCTACCAACAGTTGAAACAAATGGCGTCCTTGTTGGTGCAGATGAGGTTCTGTATGGTGAACCCAGAGCTAGCGATCACACAGAAGACACTCCCGCCTCACCACACAACGGTCTGAACCAGGAGGACAGACTGAACCTGGACAAAATCAAACAATTCCTTCGTCCTCTCACCGTGGATCTCTCTCCACCCTGCTCTTTGCGCTTCACTACCGACCAGGGCTTTCAAGATCCAAAGATAAATGGGTCAGCAACAAATCCCGCCCTTCCCGTTCGCCAGCCA